AAGCTCGCCACTTTGAACATCAGAACTCACATTTTTTAAATATTGAAAATTAAAAAATTAATTAAAAATAAAATAGCAACATTGGTCAACCCCCGGTCAGCAACGACGGCGACCGACTATGTTGGAGCAGCGGGGGCGCGGTGGCCGATGGCGGCAGGCGGCGGTCAAAGGTGGCGGTCAACGGTCAAAATCTAGTCAGCACCCCTTTCTTTGATTTTATTTTTTAAAAAATATAAAGTGTTGAAAAAATATGGTGAGTTTTGCAGTGGCCAGTGGCGAGCTTTGCGCCATCTGACTGTAGCATGTCATCTTACCGTAAGGTGTCATCTGACTAGAGTCAATCCTTATGTGTGTGTGTGTGTGTATTACCACTTTGTATATAATAAAAATGATACTCTTTTTGTCTATATATAAAAAATTATGATGTTTGGTTGAAGTTACAATTAATTTAGTTTATTTCATTATTTGTATAATTAGATTTAAAAGTAAAATTTAAAAATTTAAAAATACATCAAAAATTCTATAAAATATTAGATTTCTTTATTTTTCATATATTTTGTCTAATAGTTACCAAAAATATGCAAATGATTTTTTTCCCGACACGTTCTCTGTATTAGGCTCTGTTCCGTTTAACTTATTTTTTCTGATCTGATCTGATTTTTTGTAATTCTGATCTGGTCTAATCTAATCTGATTGGATCTGATCTGATATGATTGTATCTGATCGGATCTGATTGGATCTGATCTAATCTCATGTGATTGGATCTCATATGATTAATTATGGTTTGATTTAAATTTCAAATCAATTATTTGATTTGAGTTTATAATAACGTTTGAAAATTGTAATGATAATTCATATTATAATATAATCAATATTTTTTATTTTATAATTATTTTTTAATAAAATAAAGTTAGTTAATTTATATATTAGAATAATCATTCATATTTTAATGTAATAATATTTTTTATTTTATGATTATTGTTTGTGAAATAAGAATATTGATTTAATGTTTTAATAATTAGTTCATACATACATTAGAATAAATATTTAGTTTATATAAAATCAATACAGAGAAGAGATAGTAAATTTATTAAAATATCTCATCCTTATAAAAGATTAAAACTTTAGAAACTCAAATTACAGGTAGCAATAAAAATGTATTTTAAAAGTAGAATTAGATTGACTTTGTCAATAAATTTTAAAAATAAATTTTTCGACGTGTAATAATTAAGGATTAATTTCTCAGTTTTCTATTTAACTTGTTTCTAAAGTTTATTCTTTTTCATTTTTAAGAAGAAAAAGAAGAAGAAGATGATGATGAACAACAACAACAACAACAAAAATAATTCATTATGGGATCTGATCTGATCTGGTCTGGTCTGATCTTATTGGATCTGATCTGATTAGATCTGGTCTGATCTAATCTTATTGGATCTGATATGATTTGTTCTGATCTGATCTGATTCGATCTGATCTGATCTGATCTTATTTTAATAAGAATAAGAAAAAAATAAGTTGAACAGAACAGGGCCTTAGTATAATATCAATTGTTTTTTAACCGTTTGAATCCTAGTTATATAACATCATATTCTTCAAAGGTTTAACAAAAAAATCTTTTCATGATTATTTGTTTTTTTAATTGGAGAGTATATACCCTTTGAACAAATATGAAACAAAAAACATTCTTGCTTAGTTGGTAGGAGTATATAACTTGACGTGACAAGTAAGAAGACTAAGGTAATGACAGTATATTGAAAGAAACTGAAAAAAACTAGTAGGAATTGGAAAAAAATTAGATGAAACTAGAAAAACTAGAAAAAAATATTAAATCTAACAAAATTTCAAAAAAAACAATTATTTTATTGTATTTTTATATTATTCACATTCTAATTCTTGTTGTTATAAATTATTATTTTATTATAATTATCATGTTATCTTAATGAATGCCTTTAAGATATAAAAAAGTATTTTTTATTTTTCATACACAAAAATTACTTTTGCAAAAAAACAATTAGAATATAAAGTTAGCATAAATATCAACATGTTAAATTGTAAAAAGTAGATCAAATAAATGAAAGTATTAATTTTTTTGTTAGTTGTATTATATTTATTAGTTATATTCTTTGATAAAAAAAGTATTGTTATGTTTATATGCGCAATATTTTACAAATTTAGTAATGTAAATATGACTCGTGCAAAGCACGTGTGTCGTACTAGTTTTATTCAACAAACTAAATTCTACCCGTGCGATGCACGGTAAAAATATTATATAAAGAAATTATAATCAATGTAATGTATAAATAACATACAATTACATAACATGAAATAATTGAGATTTTCTTCCTATCATGTGGAAATAGTATTGATGGAGATACTAAGAATAATCGCAATGTCTTGCATAATTTACATATCAAACACACAAAACAAATAGGAGAAAAGTTACAAATTCTGGATATTTTTTTGTACACAACACTCCAAGTGTGGTCCAATGTACTTTCTTCTATGACAGGTTAAATCTTCAATCTTTCTCGATTTGTCATAATAACCAAAGCACACAACGAATTAAGTGTGTCAAATGACTTTGTTATAAACACAACATGATCCATGATCAAACTATATGATATATAGTTAGTGCTCTATTCTTTGGGTGCATTATAGTGTGCTAATTAATAAAAGAAAAAGAAGTAAATCAAGAGTATGCATATTAAAGTTAAACACAAAAATTTATTCTTTGGGATTATGAAAGGTTAAATATAATAACATTACTAATTTTTTTATAAGTTTATGTTATCTTAAATATATATTGAATTTTAGATAATATTTCTTAATATCAAATTATTTTATTATGTTTTTCTATGTTAGTCTCTCCGAGAGCAAGAAAGAAGGTAATCTTAGTAAATATATTATTTACTTTATTTTTACCATGTAAATTTCACATTACAGCAAGGACTAAATTTGATTCTAAACATATTTCTGCAAAAACTAATTTCTTGACAATGAGTGTCATTACATCGAAAAGAGTCTTGATACATTATAACAATATAATGACTTCTTATTCAAGACTCATTGTCATACCTATAAATGATTCCAACCTATTGAAGCCAAAGTCATGAGAGAACGTGATCCCCTCTTCATCGTGAAAGATCACATCTAGCGCGCTTCATCTTTTGGGTTGGGGAACTTTGTAAATTCAAAACGCATTGTCCATTTAGATTTTGTCTTAGTTTAGTTTGGTAACAATTTTTTTTAGTGTGGTTAACATTTCGTATAGTTTAATTTGTATGTATTGTGTATGTTTTGGCTAATCTTGTCAAAAATAATTGGAGCAGCATTTGTTTATAATACAAACTTGGGCAATTATCAAAATTAAAATGAGTGAAATTTGTACTAAATAGGACTAAAACATAATGACTTTCCTAATGTAGAATTTAAACTTTTTTATTTCCTAAATAGGACTTAATAATGACCTAGTGGAAAGAATAATGTCCAGTAATGATGGACATTTAGTTGAATAATGACTACTTCATAATGACCAAAAGTCCTACATTTGGAAATAAAAACATATGGTCCTATATTGGGAAAGTCATTATGTTTTAGTCCTATTTAAGTAAATTTTTCAATTAGTGGGAGCAGTCGCTCAAAATAAAGTGGGAGATGTTTATTACCTTTTTCTAAAATGGAGTAATTTTTACAAATAATTTCAATTCAATAATAATTCAATAAATCTAATGAGTTGATTCGTCCCAAAAAATTTAAATGAGTTTAACAAGTGAAGTTAACATGAATTATTATTTAATTGAATTCAAATGAATTAGTATCGTGGTTCTTTGTATTGCACGTTTGCACACTAACCACATACTATTGCAATTTTTTCTCGTGCACTATTTTTTCCCCCTTCCACTCTATTTTCTCATTTGCACTCCGCATTAATTAATATTATCAATAAGTCGTATTTACAATTATTACTAATAAATAACCTCAATGCGATCTCTACGTTCGTTCAGTTTGTGCAAACGTGCCAAAGGCTACGGAACCTATCATGGGCCGCGCTTATTAAAACGATAAGGCATCGGCAATTCGGCACGTGATGGATCTCAAACCATTCGGTACCACTCCATTTTGAAATAGAACGTTACAATATCGTACCATGCTAAAATTGTTCCATTCAAAAGCTCTACAAAATAAGTGGTGACATTACTATATTATTTTATCAAATGACTAACAAAAATAGGTTAAGAGAGTGAATAAAGTTTTTTTTACCATATTAATAGTGTACTGGCCATTTAATTTGGCATCAGCGTTAGAGATTAGCGTTAGCGTTTTGAAAAGGTTATCCGACGGTAGCCTTTAGCGTTAGCGTTTTCTGAATTAGTCTACACCATTAAAATTTTATCCAAAACGCCAACGCTAATCGAAAACGCTGTTCCCAAACAAGACCGAAGTAATAAAGAAAATTTTACTTTCCTAGTCTTAATTTTTGTATTGCGATTTCCTTTTTAAACAATGTTAACCTAATTCTATCTCTATTTCTTTTGTTCGTCGTTCGGGTAATGTTATAGTCCATTCTTTAGCTAGAAAGGTTGATGTGTTGTCGAGGTCGCGGGAAATTACTTTCTTGGACTTTCTTGTATCGATCAATGTTTTCTAATTAACGTAACGGTTTGGAGCGAGAGATGTTTGGTTAAGTCTTTCGCAGCTCAACTTTGATCACGACTTCGATCTTCTGTTACATTCGTGACCATTGCATTGCAGAGATATGGTGAACCGAATCCTAACGAAGCACGTTGGGCATATCCGAACATTTTTCATTGTAATATATATCCAGAGACATATATAGAGACAGCTGGTTGTTCAATTCGAGTTGGTCAATATATGGTTACTATTTCTCACACAAAATGGCATTGAAGAAGTTGTCCTGTCTTTTGGGTGCAATATAATAATTCTACTGCCAGATTGCATATTTTCTTGCCCAACACTAAGGGGCTGTTTGTTTCAGTCTCTTAATGGTTCAGATGTCTGAATGATTCAGCACTTAATGGTTCAGACTGTTTGTTTCAGCCTCTTAATGGTTCAGATGTCTGAATGGTTAAGAGATTTGCTTCTGAATGGTTAAGTATTATACAGAGTCTGAATGGTTAAGACCTCTTATCTGAATTGATCAGACATTTGCCTCTGAATAGTTAAGCAATATACTAGCTCTTAATGGTTCAGCACTTAATGGTTCAGACCTCTTATTGGTTCAGCACTTACCGATTCAGAAGTTTCCAAACAACCCCTAATTAAAGAAGTTGCGTCTTCATCACGGTTTTGTCAAGCATTTTGCTAAAAGATTAATAAGTAGGATGGGACAAGACCAAACTGCATTAAATGTGGAATTAATGCTTGGAGCTGAGCTTGCAGTTAAGTTTGTGTTATAATATATAATGGCTTTGTTTGGTAACAGCGTTTTCGATTAACGTTAGCGTTTTGGATAACAGCGTTTTCGATTAACGGGGCCAATATCTCTGCGTTCATTCATTTGGTGCAGATGTGCCCAAAGCTATATATGCGAACTTGATGTAAAGGTAATTTTTACTTTCATTGGTACGTTACGTAGTTGTTCTTTGAAAGTGAATTGTTTCCATTTTTGTCTTACATTTCATAATAAATCGGTTGTTTTGTAAACGCCGAACGGAATTGGCATTTCTTTTCGTTTTACTTCAGAAACTAAACAACGCCGCTTCCAATGCAGAAATCGTTTACGTTTAATATATTCTTTTTTAGATCGTTATCAAGTTTGAATGCCAGCATTTTCCATGGCTGCTTTGATATATATGTAAAATAAAACAATAATATTTTTGCTTCCCATTTTTGGTATATTTTCAATGTTTTAGTCCCACTTTGGTCTTTTTCCCTAGAGTAAATTCTATAATTGGTCCTTTATAATAGGGGGTTTCCCTATTTAGTCTTCTATTATTAAATATTATCACGGTGATCCTTCTTTTATGAGTATCTTTTTACAAATAGTTTTTTTTAAATCTTCTATCATATTGTGTTAATTTGAGAGCTTAAAGTGTAATTTCACAATGATAATATATCTTTCTTGTCATACACAATTCCATAGGCCGCTCTTGATGCGTTGTTTGTGAATTACAATCGCTTTCTACTACTCCCTCCGTCCTAATTCCTTCTTCCCAGTTTGACTTTTCCCCATTTTTAATTTTTGGCTTTGACTTCAAATTTTACCCTCCTTAAAAAAGATTTTTTGAATTTTTTTTGCAATCATTCAAAATATAGAGTTAGAAAATAATTGGTGTAAATACATGAGGGTATTAATGTCATTTGTCATCTTTTTTTCTAATGGGAAGGTAGTTTTAGGACGGGAAAAAAGGGGAAGTGAGAAGAAAGTTTTAGGACGGAGGGAGTATAACCATAGTCTACAAATGTGGTCTTTCGTCGGAATCGATCCTAGTCCACCATCATAGTCATTATTTTTGTGTTATCCGTCTAACCAATATCAGAATGCGTCGCTGGACATAAGATTGATGTCAAATAATACTTTTAGTCTTTAAATTAACACCAATATGATTGTAGATAAAAAAAGGATCATTTGGGGAAAAGCACCCATAAAAGAAGAACTACGGGAGTAATATTTGATAATAGAGGACTAAATATAGAAACCCTCTTGTTACAAAGGATCAATCATGAAATTTACTCAAAACATTATTACATTGCTTTACATTTCCAGAACACGTGTTTTCTACGGAGTAAATGCTACTCCCTCCGTCCCACAAAACATTTTTATTTTGATTTTTAAGGGATTTAAGAAGAGTGTATTTTGGTGTTGACTTTCCAAAAATGCTCTTGGATGTGATAGGTAAAAGTAGATGTGATGGGTAGATTAATAGTGAAAAAGTGTGATGTCGTATGTATATGTTAAGATTTAATAGGGGTAAAAGTAAAAACTTTTTAATAGAAATGAGAAAAGTTTTTTGGGACAGATGAAAAAAAAGTAGAGAGATTTTGTGGGACAGAGAAAAGTAATTCTTTTTTTTTATGAAATTGAATGCAATTCCTTGGTTTTTGGGTTTACCAAACTGGTTATATGTGAAACACACTATTACTGCTCATTTTTGCTGAACATGAACTATTAACATTGCTTAGAATTTCAATTTCTCTTTCATATTACTCGGTATTAATTATTTTCTTACGATATCTTTTACTAAATGATGTTCCAACTTTCACTTATTTATTGCTGAATACTTCACTAGGTTGGGACAAGAAAAAAGTTCATAAATGAATCCTTTGCATGCAACTTTTGAATGCCATGAGAAAGACTTGAAGGCTTCCTTGAACAACAATGGAACTTACACACACACACACACAAACTATATCCCTTTCCATGCAAGGAAGTTCTTGATGTTTATGGGTGTCCCGGTGGCGGTTTTGATGGCATGAAATAGAGATTCTCGGGGGATCCCCTTCAGCTCTTGGACTACAGAATAAATGGACTTCCCATTGGGAAAGAAGATATGGCTATTCGGGTGCTTTGTGTCGCACCCGGCATGGCGCTCGAATTCAAAGGCACTCACTCTCGTCTTCATCTCGCACCGATCGCACCCGCAAAGGTAATTCGTCCCTTTTATTATCCCTTTAAGTGTTTTCTGCAAACACGTAGACACATTGTCAAAGTATCTGAGAAATAATAATGAGTTTGTAAGATCTTGAATCGATTTGATATTTTATCTTTTAGTGTGATTTGGTTCAAGTAAGTGTCTTATAACTGATTCGAGAGAGAAGAGAATCTTATCATTTACCTCCCTTGACCATGAGACATACTTCACAGGCACACCTTCAAAGATACCTGTGGATAGCAAGTTCTTGACATTTGCAGGAAAGCTCTGAGGGGAAGTCTTACGAGCACCCGCCATCTTCGCTTTGAACGCACAATGGTTGTTTCTTCTCGGGGACTCGTTCGTCCTCATCATGACTTGATCGCCCGAATTCCTTCGGGCGCTCTTCTGGGCCGACGAGCTTTCTCCGTGGTGGGTTTTTTCACTGCCCATAAGACTTGTGTACTTGAATTGATGCTCCATTTGCATGATGTTGCTCTCATTTTCACATGTTGAGTTGAGGTTTGTAGGAGCCATGGGTTGCCCATTTCTTGTGGGCATACAGTTCCCAATCCATTGATGATTGGTGCACTTTGTGAATGGACTGTCCTGTCTTTTGTAGGACCACCACCCCAGATAACCACCATTAAGGTCATTCCTTGAATGTCCCATGGGCACATTATTCACTAAAGAATAATTATGGAAATGATTATTGTCAAACTCCATTCTTCTTCCCATATTCATGACTTATATATGCAGAACCTGGATTGTATAACATGATGATCGTCATTAGTCTATATAAATGAATGTTGAGAACTCTCATGCATGCTAAGTTGCACGGATTCTTCTAATAAGTGCCTCTAATACGTGTCGTTCTCATCCCTAAACGTCCTTGTTTGGAAATATAAGAACGTCGTAACACCCAAAACTTTTATATATATATATATATATATATATTAAAAATGTTGGTGTTTTTCACGCTTCTGACCTTGTTTCTATATAACCGCGTGTCCATGTCTCGTTGAAACTTAGCTCTTATAAAAGTCTAAATTAGCTTTTTTGGATTAAAAAAAATGAAAATCAACCAGCATATCTCGGGATTATTGGCTTGAATTATTTTCCTTTTTTAGCAAATGTTTATGGTACCCGGAGTATATCATTTGTTAAATTCTAGAGGTTGCTATTACATTTTGCTCGATTTTTTAATCGTTAACTACAAAGAAAAAAATAACAAAGTAAAAATAATTTTTGTTCAACCCGTGCGTGGCACAAGTTAAAATACTACTGTAGTATTCTTAATAACCAAATACTCCGTATCTTCTAAACAAGTACGGAGTACAAATCGGCAAAATTTGGCGTTTTTTACTAGAAATTTGACCTAGAAAATCACGGGTTTTAGACCGACATTAAAGACCTATTAAAATTTTGAATCGGGAAACGAAATAAACCGAAATCACCCAAACTATTTATTTAATGAAGTCATTGAAGTGTGTATGCCATAAACCCACACCAAGCCTTTGATTTAACGCACATAACCTATTTGGGCAGTGTATTTTATTGAAAAACATTTAATAATACAAAAATAGCCTTTTTAATTAAAAAAACAAATTAGACTCCAGATGTAGACTAAATTAGAAAAAGAACCCCTTGTATGAAATTTAGGCAAAAGAAGAAGACAAATTTGAACTATGCGTACCACAAACCCCCACCGAGAACAATTGGCATTAAAATACAAATAATTTGTGTTTTTACATTTCCAATGTGATATTTTTCTTTTATTTAAAATGTGCATGCCATAATCCCACGAGTAATGCTAGAGTCACAAACAAACAATTCACAAATTTCACAAACTTACCTTTTAACATTTTCTTAGAAATTAAATGTACCCAAATAATAAAAGATAATTTAATTTAAAAGCTATAAAAGACAAGTTTGTGAAGTTTGTGAACTATTTGTTTGTGACTCTAACATTTTCCTAATCCTACACACAAAAGCCTTTTCTATTTTCTCTAAAAGGAACAAATGCAAAATAATATTCCCCATCTCAAAATTTTCACTTCGGTTTAATTGCAGTTATTTTTCAATTACTCGTAAATTGATGTAAAATTACAAAAAATTACCTATTAAATTTTTGGAATATATTTTTAAAAATTAAATCAAAGAATTCAGCAAAAAGTTTTATTTTAAGCAATCATTAAAAATAAATAAAGAAAAAATAAAGTTTGAGTTGCAAATAGCTAATGAAAACCTTATTTTGAGATGCAAGTAGTATAAAGATAATTTAAAAGGTAAATTCTCTTAGACATCTCCAAGGGGAGAGCTTTTTTTATCTTCTATTTGCCTTTTTAGCATTCCAACAGTGCTTTAGCAATACATTTTTTTACATTCACTCCAACCATATCATCTCTATTTTAGTTTATATAATAAATTATTATTTTTAAACTACCCCATTAATTGAAAATTAACAATATCCTTTGAAAAAACAAAATCATTTTTTAAAGATAGATCTACAGATTGATCGAAAAGTAAAACATATCTATTCAAGAACATAATTGTTCATAAGAAAAACCACTGATTCTCAGAGATTGGTTTTTCTTTTTCTTTTGGAAATGATTCTGATGAATAAAAATATCGATGACAAACTCAAATTCAATGTATTTGAGTTGGAAAGAAAGATTAGATAGATGACAGGAAGAGAAATAGAGTATTAAATAGTCAATAATAGAAAGAAAACCACAGAATAGAGGTTGAAGACGAGAGAGAAGGAGGCAAGGATCAGATGTGAAAAGAGAAGTAAAAAAAGTACTCCATCAGTCCCAGAGTATTTGTCCACTTTCATTTTTATACACTATCTAATGCACTTCTTTGATGAGTCAAAGTGTTTAGATGAACAGTTCCAAAAGTCAAAAGTGGACAAAAACTAGGAGACGGAGGGAGTAGAAGATTAAAGATAGCATAGTATCTTTCAAATATAGAAGGTGGTGGAGTAGAAATAGAATGGCTTCTATTTTATGGCTTATGGGTTGGAGTCCTATTTTATGAGCAGTAAAAATTATAACATTTATTTTTTACGCTTTAGTCCATTTTAGAGGATGCATTGGAGTTGCTCTTACAGAGTATAAAAATGTATGGACATTCTCATATGAGATGTGCATTTAAATTCTTACTCTCTTCATTCTTAAAAACACTTGCTCTTTTTTTTCACTTCCAACAAAACACTTCCACTTTTTATTAAAAAACCATTTTTGTCTTTACTTTTTCATACACTACATATCACATCATACTTTTTTTCTAATAATCTATCCATCACATCATACTTTTACCCATCACATCATGGGCAAAATTGGAAGTCAACAATAATTTAACACTTCCTTATTTTTGCTCCAAGTCAAAATAGGAAGTCTTTTTGCAAACGGAGGGAGTATTATTTATACTAGTGTAATTTCGGGATTATTTGCTTGAAGTGTTTTCCTTCTTTAGCAAATGACTATTTGTTACGTAATATTCTTAATAACCAAATACTCCGTAACTTCTAAACATGTACGGAGTACGGATCGACAAAATTTGGCGTTTTTTACCAAAAAGTTGACCTAGAAAATCAGGGGTTTTGGACTGACTTTGAAGACCTATTAAAATTTTGAATGGGGACACAAAAAACCCGAAATAATCCAAACTATGTTTTTTTATTTGAAATGTGCATGCCATAAACCCACACCAAGAAGCCTTTGAATTAACGCATATAACTAGACCTGGCAAAAAATGATCCGACCTATTTTTGACCTAAGACCCAATCCAAAAATACTGGGGTTTGAACAATGCTTTTACTTATTAAAAATGGGTCAAACCTGACCGACCCGCTAATGTGATAATTTTTCAAAATCATCATGTGCTTTAATATGTAATATAATGTTATAAAAATAAGATTTTAATTTTATTTCTTTGCTTTCTACTCATTTTCAATGTATAAATTTATATTTTCATACAAAATTTTAATGATATCGTATAATTATCTTACTTTTTTCAAAATTTTCGGCATATTTTGTTTTTATACTGGTAATATTGATAATCGGTCATAAAATTACTTAAAATTTCAAAAAATAAACGAAAGTCATAACCCGTTGGGTCGACCTGGACACGATGACATTGGGCATGAACATGTAGCTCTCAACTTATACTCGAAGTTACCCAAACCCAAATTAACCTGAATCCAAGGTGATCGAATCCAAACCCGACCTGACCGACCATTTTTCCAGCTCTACACATTACCTATTTGGGAACATTTTTTTATTGAAAACATTTAATAATACAAAAATAGCCTTTTTAATTAAAAAAACAAATTAGACTCCAGATGTAGACTAAATTAGAAAAAGAACCCCTTGTATGAAATTTAGGCAAAAGAAGAAGACAAATTTGAACTATGCGTACCACAAACCCCCACCGAGAACAATTGGCATTAAAATACAAATAATTTGTGTTTTTACATTTCCAATGTGATATTTTTCTATTATTTAAAATGTGCATGCCATAATCCCACGAGTAATGCTAGAGTCACAAACAAACAATTCACAAATTTCACAAACTTACCTTTTTAACATTTTCTTAGAAATTAAATGTACCCAAATAATAAAAGATAATTTAATTTAAAAGCTATAAAAGACAAGTTTGTGAAGTTTGTGAACTATTTGTTTGTGACTCTAACATTTTCCTAATCCTACACACAAAAGCCTTTTCTATTTTCTCTAAAAGGAACAAATGCAAAATAATATTCCCCATCTCAAAATTTTCACTTCGGTTTTTGATATTTAATTGCAGTTATTTTTCAATTACTCGTAAATTGATGTAAAATTTAAACAAAATTACCTATTAAATTTTCAGAATATATTTCTAAAAATTAAATCAAAGAATTCACCAAAAAGTTTTATTTTAAGCAATCATTAAAAATTAATAAAGAAAAAATAAAGTTGGAGTTGCGAATAGCTAATGAGAACCTTATTTTGAGATGTAAGTTGTATAAAGATAATTTAAAAGGTAAATTAAAAAAGAGAATATAAAAATGTATGAACATTCTCATATGAGATGTGCATTTAATTTCTTATTAATTTACTACATAGTCCATAGTGCAACTTAATTTTAATACATGATAGGAGCACTATGTTTTTTATAACATAATAAAATTTGAAAGAGTCGTCTTGGTGTCATTGGAACACAATCTTTTGTTATTTTATTGTGTATTATTAAAAAAAGTAAATATATTTTACATGATAAATCTAACTAAATTATTACGGAGTATTATTTATACTAGTGGAATTTCGGGATTATTGGCTTGAATGGTTTTCCTTCTTTAGCAAACGACTATTTCTTACGTAATATTATTAATAACCAAATACTCCGATTCATATCTTCTAAACATGTACGGAGTACGGGTCGACAAAATTTGGCGTTTTTTT